TTTATAGGGTGCCATGTCAATGACATATGTTCAGGTGGGTAGCAGGGCCTTGTAAGTGGCTGTGGTTGATAATAAGAATAATATTTTTAAAAGCTATTTTTATTGGGAACCTGCTAAAATATATATTATCTCATTAATTCCTCATGAAAATCCTATGGAGCAGGTAATACCAGCTCATTTTACATAGGCAGGGAGATTAAAGCTCAAATAGGTTAACTGACTTGTTCAAAGCCACCCAGATCGTCCAGGGTGAATCAAACTGTTCCATCTGACCTGGCTCTCATGCCTTTTGCACTATCCTGTGCTGGTTCCATTCATTAAAATCATTGTTTAATCTCTATATGACCTTCCTTTCCCTTATCCCACGGTGACTTCTCTTTCTATGTGCATCCCTCTACCTATAATAACAATATAATCCATAGTTAAATCAATGCACTCTCTGCTGCATTGTGTGTTTTTGTAAGTCTGTGATCTATTATTATCTACTTAAATCTGTGTATTGCATAATTCAGCATTTTAATATTCGCTTTGAAAAGTGTTTTGAGTCACTTCCCTGCAAAGGTGCTGTATTAAATTACATTCATTATTCTTCCTAAATGTAGACAAGTCATGGTTCAGGTGAACTAGAAAGTAACTCCCATTATCCTCAGCACATTCCATCACATTCGTTATTCTCTGTGACATTTATCAACACGGCATTTAGACCTTTTAAAGAAAGGGGGGGAAATCACTTCAAATTCCAAGGCATTGAACTAACACTGAGCCAAGTTCTGCAGGTGAAAAAGTCACTTCCTTGCTACAAGTGACAAGCTGCCTTTTGGAGCACAATGAGAAGTTGAAAAGCAACATGCCAGGAACCGGGGGAAGTGAAGTACTAACCCGATCTGCTGCAACTTGTTGCATCTTGCTCATGACTGCTCATGCTATTCTTAATAACAGCCCAGTCAGTGGGGCTCAGTTGGCCCTTGCACCAAGAGGTTGCTGGTTTGATTCCTGATCGGGCCACATCCCTGGCTTTCGGGCTCATCCCCAGTAGGATTTGTACTGATTTTGCTAGGGACGGTGGCTTAAACAACAGAAAGTTAGTGTCTCGCAATTCTGGAGTCCAGAAGTTCAAAATCAAGGTGTTAGCAGTGTTGGTTCCTTCTGAGGGCTGGGAGGGAAGGATCTGTTCCAGGGTTCTCTCCTTGAGAAGTAAATGGCTATCTTCTCCCCATATCTCCTCATCTTGTCTTCCATCTGTCCACGTCTCCATGTCCAAATTTCCTCTTTTTATACAGAAACTGGTGATATTGAATTAGAGACCCACCCTTATCCAGTATGACTTCATCTTAACTAGTTGCATCTGCCATGACCCTATTTCCAAAAAAAGATTACATTCTGAGGTATTAGGGGTTAGGGCTGCAGCATATGAGTTTTGATGAAACAATTCCACCAACAACAATATTCTTCCATTTCAAAAACTTTATTAAAGCCAAGTTCAGTAACCCACATTCATACTCACATCAACTTCTTACCTCCTGTTCCTGCTGTCTGGAATCTTTAACTCTCTACTTTATAACCTGTCTGTTTGTTTATTGTCTTTCTCACAATCTTCAGTCCTTGAATGAACACAACATAACAGAATAGTTGTAAAATACAAAGGGTATGAGAAAATGCTTTGTAAATTATCAGTTCTTATAAGAGTTTTAAATTGCCCTTTATTAACATTCCCTCAACATGAGCTCCTAGTTAGCACATGTCCCCTGGTGTTTCAGATCTTAGAGAAACTCCGTCGGTGCAGGATGGATTAAAGGAAGGAGACAGTGGTTGGGAGGCCATTGTGGTGTTGCGAATTCAGAAGGATGTGAGGTGGAATGAGGGACCCACAGAAGGGATGCCAGGAAAGAAAAGTGAGACACGCCCCTGAGAGATGGTTGCACAGATTTGGGGACTCATTGGATATTGCCAGGCACAGAAGTCATGGGGAGAAAAGCAGATATTGATTTTTTTTTTTCTGTATCCAATACAATGATGCATGTAAGTTTTGTTTTATTTTATTTCGTTGTTTTCCTACACTGCTACTGGCTCCCTATTTACTGCCAAACAAAGGCAAACTCTTCAGCTAACACCCTTCCTGACCTTGCCCCTGTCTGCTCTCCATTTTCCCATCATATCCTTATTCACATCTTACCAAACCCCTTGGAGCTGAGCTTCTTACCTTTGTTTCTTCCTGTTACATCTGATGTCTTATCTTGCAAAGTCCTTCCCCGGTGGACACCTGGCTCGTTCCCAAACCAACACTGAAAGACAGAAGCCGTGTTGGCCTCCCTCTGGAGACACACATGCTTTCATGCTCCTTTCATATCTTGCTGATCCTATCATCATTCTTCTCACAGGGGACCACAAGCATTTCTGATTGTGTGTCCCCCTCATGCAATCATACACTTGAAGACAGTAATATGTTAGATTCATCTTCGTATCTCCATTCTGAGCAGAATGTCTTGTCCTTGAATGCGGAAGTATGTGTTACATAAATAAATTAATGTAGACACAGACTAAATCAGATGCTGGGTGATGCATTCCACCCCCATCGGAGGGATCTTTCTGACACAGGAAAGCTGGTGTAGGAATTCTTTGAGGTCTATATTCCTGATTATCTTTTTAGATTCTCAGAAAAACATGTATTGCTCAGATGTGCCCTCCTTCATGATAATGTTTGACTATTGATTTAATTACCAGATACCTGCACCCTGTAGCTCAGGTTCAAGAATACCTACACCGGAAGCTCATGGTGTTCTCTGGTGGCCACTATGTCCACACCAGCACTGATAGAAGAGGCCCCTGGTGTAGGAGAGACTGGTTATTCATAAAACAAGCTCCTGCCTAGCTAATGTTACACCTTGCACCTGTGACAAGGAGAGAACATTATGAGATGTTCAAAATTAAATAATTAAGTTGCAGAGGCCAGGGAATGAGAGATAGACTACTAGCCTGGTAATGGCTGCTGAACAGTTAACAAAAGATTTCTCACATCCTTGTTTTGCCCATTGGATTTTCGGATTAATTTTCAGGTGGCTATTTCCACAGATTATTTTAGCCAGGCACCATCTAACTCCAGGACCCTCTGCTTGTTTACCTGCCGGCTCCTCAGGCTACTCCCTAGGCCAATCTAAGGAGCAGACATTTCTTTATTTGGGCTCCGCTATCCCAGAGCTGAGCCTCCCCCACCCCTCTGCCTATAGCTCACGTAAATTCTTTCAGACTGCTTCTTTCTTCTCCCTCCCCACATCTGATGTGTAAAAACTCTTGCAAAACTCTGCAGTGGTGGACTTGCTATCTTTCCTGCCTAACCTTGTGGCCGGTGGTTTAGACTCCATGCCCCAAGACAGGTCTTTTGGTTAGCATTTTGGGCTCAATAAAATCTTACGAAAAGACTTTCAGCCATGGAAGTTAAGAAATTGTAGTTTCACACGTGTCTGAAGCTACTAAACTTCAACAAATGCCCCATAAATTAGCTTTTTTCCCACCCAGTTAGGACATTCCTATTTAAATTAGGATAGGAATTCACTAATTCACCAGCAAGTTTCCATTTTTTAGGAGGACTCTAACACTAGTATTTGGGTGACTGTAATCAAGGCAAATTGCAGTCCTAGCTGGTTTGGCTCAGTGACTAGAGCAGGGGTGGGCAAACTTTTTGACTCGAGGGCCACAATGGGTTCTTAAACTGGACCGGAGGGCCGGAACAAAAGCATGGATGGAGTGTTTGTGTGAACTAATATAAATTCAAAGTAAACATCATTCCATAAAAGGGTACGGTCTTTTTTTTTTTTTTTTAGTTTTATTCATTTCAAACGGGCCGGATCCGGCCCACGGGCCGTAGTTTGCCCACGGCTGGACTAGAGCATCAGCCTGTGGACTGACGGGTCCCAGGTTTGATTCTGGTCAAGGGCACATGCCTGGGTCCCTGGTGGGGGGTGTGCAGGAGGCAGCCAATCAATGATTCTCTCTCATCATTGATGTTTCTCCCTTTCTCTTTGAAATCAATAAAAGTATTTTTTTTTTAAAAAAAAGAAGGCAATGTGCAGCAACAATTATTATTATTATTATTATTGAGACAGAAATAAAATTCAAAACTGGGCAATACTAATTAATGACTTTTGGACCTTGGGCAAGTTATTCAAAATCTCAGGTACCTCACCTGTGAATTAGAGGTAATAATAACTGACCTTACCGTAGTTGGTAATGATTAAAAATTATGCCACCCACATGATAGGCCATAGCTCTGTGTTTCCTAATGGGAGTGCGATTGATGTTTGGGGTGGGGAAAACTCCCTTAGGTGCAAGTCCATTGCCTACATTGTAAGACAGTAAACATCTGTGGAAGCTGACCTCTAAATGCCAGGACTGCCCCCACCCCCAGTCATCGAAGCAGCTGAAAATGCCCCCAACCCTCCCCCACATACACATTGCAAAAGCCATAATGAAATAAAACTTATCAAGTGTTACTACACGCTAGAGAATGTTCCGAGAACTGTGTTTGATTCATCTCATCTAATCCTCATAAAAACTTTATGATGCTCTGCAAGATTAAATACATTGCTAGTTATATAACTGAAGAGTGGAGGGTCTGGGTTTGTAGGCTTGTGAGGTTAGTGTCTGAGTCATCCTGACTGGAAGCATAGTAGGTACTCAGTAAATATGCTCTTCCTTTCTTCCCAGTTTGGTTTCAGCTCCAGTGCCTTTGGCGTTATAACTCCTGAGAGATCCATAAACAGACTTTGTCTCCACATGTGTCTCAGGGACTCCAGATGAACAGCCTTCATTGGTCCAAGCCCAATCTTGACAAAACTGAAGACATCTTTTTTTTTTTTTTTTCTAGTGAAGGATATCTCCATGCCAAATTTGTCTTGCTGTAACATGGCATAGCCCACTACGGGTTTTCCCTGGGGATCAATAAATATTAGGCCATCCATTTTTTTTTTCTTTCACTTAATTCTTCTCCTCCTTTCTTTTCTCAGGGCCCTGTGCTGTGGGAGCACCTCTCACCTGGCCGATTTTTGTTACCGCTGCATGACGCTTGGGAGGTAAGTGTTCTGCACCCATTTCCAGTGTCAGGAAGGGAGTGTTCCCCCCACATCCAAGTCATTCTCCAACTGGGTGTCCTACCATTCAACTCAGTTCTGGCACTATATACCTGGAGATAGGGTCAGATTCCACAGGCTGAGGGTACTTACACAGAGAGTGCTTTGTTCCAGATGAGCCCCTCGGAGATGGGAGTGCCCCGTGTTTGCATTTGTCTGTGAGAAGGTAAGTAATTTTCTGAAGGGGGAAGCTGGGTCCTCTAGGATTGTGTGGGGACCAAAAAGCAGAAGAGTACAGTACAGCCAACCTCGATCTCCATTAATAGAGAGACAATAGGTCTGTTAACATTTTTCCAAACAAATGGCTTGGGGAAGGTTTTAAAATCCATGTAGGGAGACTTGTACCTGCCAGTCAGGGCTTCCTGAACTGAGAAGTCAACAGATCCATAAAAGTTATCCCTCTCTAGAATGGAGACCCAGACACATCCTGCCTTTCCTGGCAATAATGATAGGACTCACTGTTCTCAATAGGACAGACATTCAGAATCAGTTGCCAGGCATGGATTTTCTCCTTCCTTCAGCCATCCCTGCATGATTAGCCCTAGTGCATGTCCTAGGCACCATGAATAGCTTCCCCCCTGAACCTGTCAACCCCCTGAACATTTGTATCTTTGCACATATTTACAAAGGGATGATTAATGGCTACAGAGCTGAGCAAAGTTGTGTGGCCTTAGGCAAGATGCTTCTGTAAGGTGGCTCCATTTTGCTTGTCTGCGATATGAGGTTGGTCTAGGGTCGTAGACCTCTTTTATTATTTTTTTTTTTATTAAATCTTTATTGTTCAGATTATTACATTTGTTCCTCTTTTTTCCCCCCATAACTCCCCTCCTCCCAGTTCCCGCCCCACCCTCCGCCCTCACTCCCCACCCCTGTCCTCATCCATAGGTGCACGATTTTTGTCCAGTCTCTTCCCGCATCTCCCACACCCCTTTCCCCACCAAGACTAGTCAGTCCATTCCCTTTCTATGTCCCTGATTCTATTATGATCACCAGATTATTTATTCACTTGATTCTTAGATTCACTTGTTGATAGATGCATGTTTGTTGTGCATAATTTGTATCTTTACCTTTTTCTTCTTCTTCCTCTTCTTAAAGGATACCTTTCAGCATTTCATATAATAATGGTTTGGTGGTGATGAACTCCTTTAGCTTTTCCTTATCTGTGAAGCTCTTTATCTGACCTTCAGTTCTGAATGATAGCTTTGCTGGATAAAGTAATCTTGGTTGTAGGTTCTTGGTATTCATCACTTTGAATATTTCTTGCCACTCCCTTCTGGCCTGCAAAGTTTCTGTTGAGAAATCAGCTGACAGTCGTATGGGTATTCCCTTGTAGGTAACTGAGTTTCTTTCTCTTGCTGCTTTTAAGATTCTCTCTTTGTCTTTTGCTCTTGGCATTTTAATTATGATGTGTCTTGGTGTGGTCCTCTTTGGATTCCTTTTGTTTGGGGTTCTCTGCGCTTCCTGGACCTGTAAGTCTATTTCTTTCACCAGGTGGGGGAAGTTTTCTGTCATTATTTCTTCAAATAGGTTTTCAATATCTTGGTCTCTCTCATCTTCTGGCACCCCTATAATTCTGATGTTGGTACGCTTGAAGCTGTCCCAGAGGCTCCTTACACTATCTTTGTATTTTCGGATTCTTTTTTCATTTTGCTTTTCTGGTTGGGTGTTTTTTGCTTCTTCGCATTTCAAATCTTTACCTTGATTCTTGTGCTCCTCTGGTCTGCTGTTGGGAGTCTGTATAGTATTTGTTCTTTCAGTCCGTGTATGCTTAATTTCTAGTTGGTTCTTTATCATAACATCGAGGGTCTCATTAGATTTCTTGAGGATCTCACTACATTTATCGGTGGCTTCTAGACCGTTCTTAAGAGACCTTAAAAGTGTGGTTCTGAGCTCAATATCCTCCATTGACAGTTTTGTCCTGTTTCTTTGTCTCCGCATTTTTTATGCTTTCTTGGTGCACCCCCTAGTGGTCTTTGTGCGCAGTCTTGTTGTAGTTAAGCCTTGATTGTTGTCGGCAGTACCAGGGGTGATTTGACCTCCAGGCTAACTGGCTGTGAGAGTCCGCTGTGTCTGCAGTGGAAGAGCTTCTGTGTTGGATCTCTAGGGCGGTGCTAATCTAGCGTTTGCCTGAGGCTATCCGGCAAATGGCTCTGTGCAGGGCTTGGGCGGGGCGTGTCCCCGGGGATCTACAGGGCGGGCTGGAGCGAGCAGTTATGACTGCTCTCAGTTCCATCCCTAGGGGCTCTGCCTCACAGAGTCCCAGCAACCGCTGCAAACCTCGGAGAGAAAGCTGCCTTCGAGTTCCGACCGAAGCCAGACAGTCCCGCTTCTCCCGTTTGAGTCTGGGTCCCTAGAGACTCGCCCGGATCTGGAGCTCAGAGTCTGAAACTCCCTCCGAATTGAAAACAACAACTGCGCCCTCCACCTCCAGCCCGCTCTGCGTGCACTCCGCACCTGAGTATTTCACTTCAGCACTGCGCCTCCTCTGAGTCTGGGTATGATATTCTCTTTCTTCCTAGTTGTAGAATTTCCACTCAGCCAGCCTTCCTGTGGTTCTGGATGATGTCCGTTCCATTGTTTAGTTGTTTTTTGAAGTGGTTGTTCGAGGCAGCAATCTCCGGCGTTAACCTATGCCGCCATCTTGGTTTCTCGTCCTCCGTAGACCTCTTTTAACTCTGACATTAAAGGGTTTCAAAAATGGTTCCTGAGGAGACAAAAAGGCATGATATTGCTCATGAGGTACTGTGGCCTGGGTTCCATTAATTAATTAATTGATTGATTGATCACTTTCTCACTCTCACACTCCCAGGGCAAACAGGTACAAGGGTCTCTTCTGTGTGTGTCAGGCATCAGGGAATGCCCAGGCTATTCAGGGAGACTGTGTGCAGATGTTGGTAATCTAGCATGCTACCCTATCCTATAGCAATGAGAATGGGGGCCAGAGACCTCCTTCTATCTGGAAAAATAGAAACAGGCTTTTCTGTAGAGAAAGGAATAAGTCAAGAAGAGAATGGGTCTCTCATCAAACTAGGAATAAGGCAAACCTCGGCTCCTTCACTTACTGAATATTAGAGTTTTTCATTTCACTGAGTCTGTTTTCCCATCTACTCTAGTGGTGATACTACTACTTAAAATAATAACACTCTAAAAGTTTGGTAAGACTCATTGGGGTAAACAATGTGAAAATTCCTGTTAAACTGTAAGAAATCCATTCTGTTTATACCTACTCCCCTCTCTCCTTCTGTAGCAAAGAATTTAATATGGACTTGGCATGCTTAGAAATGCTCACTTGTCATTCTTTATAATTCCAGCGCTCATTTTCTGCCCCAAACAGTGAAATTGCTGCATTGCTCCTTAGAGATTTCAAAATCTTCCTACCATCTTAGGATTTCATTTTACAACCTCCCAGGGCCTGAGAGAGGATTAGCTTCCATTTATGACCACTCCTGCACCCTGCCCATTTGGAGGGCTGAAGCTGATAGAACAAATCCCCAGCCATTGATTTCCCGCCCAACGTTAAGTTCACGAGCTCTATCTCCCCCACCCTTCTGTGTTATCTTAAGAAACTAAAACTTCCTTATGCTCCTTTAATAGCTGTAAGGGAGGGGGGCAAGATAGCTGAAATCGGCATGATAGGTTCTCAAGAATTCAGAAATTGGAATTGGGAAACCAGGTTTCAGATTCAGCCCTCGCTGTGAGAACGTGGCTAAGCCACTGAATGTCTAGGAGCCTCAGTTTCTTTCTTTAGTTTCATAAGATGGCTGTGAGGATCAGAAAACAAGAGATGACGGATGTAAAATTATTTTTTAAATGCTAAGGCCCTGTATAAACATTAGCTGTGTAGGTAATTAATATTAACATTGATAATAAAAAGCGTTAACATTTACGGGGCTGTATTCAGAAAAGAAACACCAAGATGAATTTTCTTTATTTATTCCACATGACTAACTTTATTTATTCCACATGACTAACTCATGGAATGGTAGGAAAGAGTGTGGCCATGTTTGATGATGGCTCGATGGTATCAGAACACGTTAAAGTCTGAATGGTGTGGCTATCTCCTGAAGTCTGATGGTATAAAAGGCAGTGCTGGCCAATGTGACGCAGTTGGCTAAGCATCGTCTCTTACACCAAAATGTTGCTGGTTCGATTCCCGGTCAGGGCACATGCCTGGGTTTCAGGCTCAAATCCCCAGTAAGGGGCGTGCAGGAGACAGTCAGCCCACATTTCTCTCTCACACTGATGTTTCTCTCTCGCTGTCTTTTCTACTATATAAAAGCAATAGAAACATATTTTTCAAAAAGGCAGCAAGGTCTCAGGTTTTTTTGCTTTTCTAATCTGGTAGGATATCTACTCTCTGTAGAAGGTATTGATCTTCCTGACATCTCCATGGCAACCAAGGAAGCATTTACCTTGCTTATTTACTAGTTCAAGGACACACTTCAGTAGAAGCAACATAAGCTGCATCTGAGTCATTATCACCCTCGACAGACTTGGGATGTGGATGAGCCCTGTACTTGACCTCCGGCATTCTGACCCCTGTGCCTCCTTTGTGCACCTTTACTAGTATATAAAATTCTGCCATGGCACCCACAAGTTGTTACTGCATTTGTTAGTTCCATGTCAGTCCTATGCCATTAGACTCTAAGCCTCTCAAAGGCATAGACCTGTAAAGCAATTCTTTAATGCATGATAAAGAGTTAATACGACTAATGTCAATGTACAGATGATTAAGTCAGAGAGGGAATGTGTGGGTGATTGGACAGATAGATGAACATGTCTTGGCTGCTTAGAACATGGGGCAAAGTAGTACATGCTCTCCTTCAAAGTAAGTTTGACTTTGGTGTCAGAGCAGATGGTTGAAATGGCCTGACTTCTATCCCCACATTGTTCCCTAGATGCCTCTACCACCACCACCACCACTGTGGAGAGCCTCCTGTTTA